TAATACCTAACCAGAAATTAAATCATTTGAAGAACAGAAATCCACTACCTTTGTCTCTGCGGAAGCTTTACTTCAGAGGGGGAAGGCGAGGAGGTCTCTTGCAGAAGCTTTACTCCGGCGAGAGGGGCGAGGTGAGGAGGTCTCTGCAGAAGCTTTACTCCATATGGGACTCTGGGAAATTTTGCTCCATAGGGGGAAGGTATGCGCGGTGAATGAATGTTTTGGCGGAAATTTATCGCGGGAGAAATTCCTGAAATTTATCCACAAAATTGTCTGCATTTCTACTCCACGTTTGCTGAGTCAGCCTGTGAAGGGCGCTGTTACTTGGAGACAGAGACGTAAACACTGTCGAAATTAAATTTGTACATATCAGCATTACAGGAGAATACACATGGTGCGTTGGAAATGATAATTATGTAGTGATGTTAAATAAGGATTACGTAGCATGTTTTTTTAATGTCAACACCGTCCGATTGAAGATGCTCTAAGAGTTTAATTACTCCTATTTGGGTAAATCCCTCTCTTCAAACCTTTCCTTGAACAATTTGGAGAAGGCATTTCCCTTGTCTCAATTTGGACAGAAACGAAGAGAATGAACTCACCTTCACCGTATAATTTGGGCTTATCTCAATTTCTAGGGTTCGATTGGAGTATTTAGGAAGATGATGACTTGGAGGCCACAGTTACCACACAAAGCCTAATTTTTACGCGATATCACTAATCCGTTGGCCAGGTCAGCAATTTAGCAGACCTAATAACCCGATGGACGAAATTAGATCCGTTTTGACGAATTCATGTACCGTTGAATCCCAATGGCAGCTTGATGTACTCTTTACTCCCCCGCTCCCAAGTTCATGTACCAAACTGACACTTTTCTCCTTGCTAAACAATTGTGGAAAGTGAAATTGAATATTGTTGTGGTTGTTTCTATTTAAAAAAGTTATTTTAGATCAAATAAAAATTTGTAGTGTTTGAGAAATATGTGTTGTTAAATAAGTAAAAACTGATAGTGTTTGATAAAAAATATTTTTGGGTAAGTAAAATAGTGAAAACATGTTAAAGCACTCACCTACATGCTTCTAGCTTTTAAGTTGAGATGGACAATTTGGTACACGGTTCAAATTTTATCCATTTGGTTTCCATTTATTTGATTTTAGAGATATTGTACTAAATTAAAACTATTTTTGTAGTGATTAACTTTCAATTTATTTTGAGAGTGATTCGGATCAGTGTGATTTCAAATTCGAGTTATCAAAAGGAAAATGATTTGGTTCAATATGATTCGGTTTCATGTAATTTATTTGGTCTATACTTGAATTTCAATTTTTTTAGAAATAGAGAAAACTAGTCCACCTCATATTTTTGTATTTATTTAATTAAAATGTAAAGAGAAATAAAAAGATAGAAATAATAATAAAATATTATAGATTAAACATCTAATTTGTATTATTAAGACTAATGACACGAAAATTTAAGTTTATGGTTAGTTAACATTTATAACATCACATAAAATATTAAAAAAAAAGTAAATGAGCAGACGACAAAAAGTGTTGTAAAATTCACAAATTTTTATTGGAAAAGGTTCATATAGACCCTTCTACTAATTGCAATCCATTACTTAAGTCCATATACTAAAAAAGTATCATATAAGTATGTTTACTTTAAAAACATAGTCAATCAAATCATTTTAATATGCTATCACAAGTTATTTAACTAAAAGAATAATTAAATTAATTGATAAATCTTATAAAAATTCATATAAATTTAAAATATAGTGTAATATTTTAAAAATAGTACATATTTAAACAAAGAAAAAAATTAAAAGGTTCAAATTAAGAGAATAAAAATAAAAAACTGAAAATAGAGTTGTTGGGCCTACTATGCTCTGCAAATTATGAATAGCCAAATCTAACAGCAAACACAAAACACATAATGGGCCAGTTTATTGTCGCTTGAATAATTATTAAGTAGCTCAAGCAACAGTAGTCTTTCAAAGCCCATAAAAAGCGTCTGCAAACACTAATTTATTCTCACTCGACCTCATCGCTCCAAAAGCCCATATGGTGGAGTGATTAATTACTTTAGTCCAATGTGGAATTTTAGTCGGCGATGCTTTCTCATTCTAAGTAATCTTATCTTATCTTATCTTATATACCTAGAAGGAGAATCCATCTCCTATAGGTTTTCCCGCTTCTCTCCAAAATTTTAGATACACCGTATAATTAATTATGATACACCGTAAATTAAATGCTCCCAGACGTTTCTCTGTTTTCGCTTATTATTCTTCTGTTTCTTCAGTTTCTTCCATAGTTGGTTAAATATGGTACGGGACTTAAACGAGGTTAAATACGTACGTGTTTTATTCGGTAACATGAATGAAAAAAATGGTCAAAAATTCGTTGAATACGTATACGTGTATAAAATGTTTAAATACGTATACGTGTATAATACGATATATGTTGCAAAAATCCAGACAAAAAATACAGAGTATTATTTCGAACGTTTATGTTATATACTTCACACAATAACATATTTAGTAAAAAGAAATAACACTATACACATTTTCAAGTAGCAAATCTCATTATTACATAAAAGAATTGTTTATAAATGCAAATGTTGATAACAAAAATAAAAAATACTACGTAGTAATTGTGAGAATATTTTGGAAAAGGTACTCCAATAGGAGTCCTGGACTGAATATTTATAATAAAAGAGTTTGAAACATACTAGGAAACAAATATGCCTAATAATATCCTATTACACCCCCTCAAACTGTGCGGGAGAAACAACGCGCAGGTTGTCCTTCAAAAAATGAAACTACTGACTCGAAAGACTTTTAGTAAAAATATCAGCTAACTGCAGTTGTGTAGGGATGTACTTCACGACCAAGTCTCCATGAGTCACATGTTCTCGAACAAAATGGTAATTGATACGTTTGTAATTTCCATATGTATGTTTGTGTTTTTAATCAGTTTTGCTTGATTTTTACTTTGGAAATTACACACTTTTGGTGTAATAGTTTAGTTTGTTAAATTCTTGTAAATAGTTTAGATTAGGTATATTCTGAGCTCAAACAGGTCTTGATCACTCAAAGGACAGTTGATGAACCCCAAAAAGTGGAAGGAAGGTGCAAAAATAAAAAAGAAAGAAGGATCCTGAAATTTTGGTCTATACTCGGTCGAGTATCACCTATACTCGATCGGGTATTAGGTTGAAACTTCAAATCGGATCAGATCCGAAGACAAGGGAACATGCCGGGAAGATTTCGGCCACGATTGAGTGTCTATACCCGATCGGGTAGACTGACATACCCGATCGGGTATGCCTTTAAGTTTAAACGTAAAATCGGTCGACTATGGCTCAAATATCACTTTCTACACATACTCGATCGAGTATAAACATATACCCGATCGGGTATACCTTTGGAACATAGCCTAAAACCGACGAGTATACCTCGAATCTGGTATTACACACATACTCGATCGGGTATCATGTATATACCCGATCGAGTACCCGAATCCCATCCCAAAAACCTATAAATACACCCCCTTTCTTTCACAAATGATCATCCAATTCCTTTGTACATCTAAGCTCAGTATAGAATAGTTCTTTCTTTATATTTTGCATCATGTTTAGTCTCCAAATGAGGAGCTAAACTCTTCCATCTTGGTTTTGCTACTTTGAAGCTTAATGAATTTGTAAGTTGTGAGTTATTTTCTTTAATCTTCTTCCTTGAATATTAATTCTTCCTTTAAAATACTATTTTTATATCAAAGTTGGGGAGTGTTACTAAGATAACAATTAGTTAACAACTTGACATTGGTTATGTTAATAGTTATTTCTTCCTCTATGTAAATATTGGGGAGTGTTACTAAGATGACAATTAGCTAACATCTTGATATTAATCATAGTAGGATTCATATTCTTTAATATTCTTCCTTGAGTATTAATTAATTCCTATTCATATTTCATGTTAATATTTTAAACATTACTTAAAGTATCAACTAGTTTTGTTTCTCATATTAATTATTACTAGAATCAATCGGTTAATACGCTTGTTATTCATCCGGTTCTTTCAACTGTAGTAAATTTGGATTATTAATGCATGCATCTCATGGTTAATATGCCAAGGGGAATTAATTATATTGATTAAACCAATAAACCGCTTGTGTTGAGGTTATCAATCTCAATCGTTTTCATCTTAAGTTTATTGCTACTATCAAGTTAATATACGGCGCTTGTTCTATATTGACTCGATAGTAAGTTTTATTAATGAACGCATCTCGTTATTAATAACTACCCTCGATGAACTGGATATACTCCTCGATTGAGTATTCGAGATGAAGATAGTTAAAGATATAACCGGGATCGATGAACATTTCATTAAGCGGATAAAAGCAAATCCAAGCCACCACATCTATTAATCAAACTCATATAGGTTGTTCATCTTAGTATTTTTAAATCAAACAAATCTAAACCCCCTTTCTTACTACTTATATAGAAGAAAAATATTCATTTCCCTGTGGATACGAAGCTTACTTCGTTATACTACATATAATCGTTGTATTGTAATTATTTTGAGTGCACCTTACGACAAGGGCACGTCAGTAATCAATCTGGATGTGCTTGCTACGAGCATGCTGGACAGGATTGGCAGTCAAATAGGATGCAGAGATGTTATCACAAAATAGCTTAACTGGAACGGTTACCGGAAATCCAGGCTCAAAAAGAATTGAACAAATATGCAATGTATCCTGGACAGTATAAGCAACAACTCTATATTCAGCTTCGGTAGAGGACTTAGAAACGGTAGGTTGCTTCTTGGACTTCCACGAGACAAGATTTGGGCCTAAGAAAACTGCAAAGCCAGTCGTAGATCGGGACGTGTCTGGGCAGTCTGCCCCATCTGCATCTGAATAAGCAATCACACAGCTGGCCTGAGTGGTTGGCTGAAGCCACAATCCATGATCAAGTGTTCCCTGCAAGTATCTACAAATGCGCTTGACCGCAAACAGATGAGTAGTAGAGGGGCATGCATAAACTGAGACACTAAATGCACAACATAGGAAAAATCAGGTCGTGTCAAAGTTAAATATTGTAACGCATCAACCATACTGCGATACTCAGTGGCATCTGCAAGAAGCTCCCCATCAGTGAGGGATAAAGAGGTGCGAGTAGCAAGTGGAGTACGAACAGATTTAATAGTGTGGAGATGGAAACGAGAAAGAAGATCAGAGACATATTTATGCTGAGAGAGAAATAAACCTTTTGTGGAACGGGCAGCCTGGACACCTAAAAAATAATTAAGATCACCGAGATATTTCATAGCAAAATGCTTAGCAACAAGTTGAATAAAGGAATTAACAGCAGCAGAAGAATTACCAGTAATAATAATGTCATATACATATAATAATAAATAAATAACATTATTATTCTGGTGGTAAATAAATAATGAATTATCAGACTTGCTGCAAGTAAAATGATGAGTCAAAAGAAAACTACTAAATTGGTGGAACCATGCTCGCGGGGCTTGTTTAAGACCATAAATTGCATTTCGCAATCTACATAAATAATTGAGAAACAATAGATGAATGAAACCCCGCGTCTGACGCATATATACTTCCTCGATGAGGTGACCATGCAAAAAGGCATTTTTGACATCCAATTGACGAATAACCCACCCAAAAGAAATAGTGAGTGTAAGGACGATACGAACAGTGCTGGGTTTAATAACTGGACTAAAGGTTTAAGAGAAATCTACACCTGCCTGTTGATTAAACCCTTGAACTACCAAACGAGCTTTATGGCGCTCAATGGAACCATCTGAATTATATTTAGTCTTAAAAATCCAGTTAGAGCCCACGACATTTTTAGTTTTATCAAATGGCACCAAATCCCAAGTATTATTAGAAATAAGAGCATTAAATTCCTCAGCCATTGCCTCACGCCATTTTAACTGTTTATTAGCCTCCGAAAAAACAAGTAGGATCAGCTGATAAAGCAACAATGTTTAAATTAAAAATCATTTTCGGTTTAAAAATTCCCGACTTCGCCCTTGTTTGCATGGGGTGAGTATTGGTTAAGGGGCCATGACTAGCTTGCGGTGGAGGCGAAGAGTCGGGGAGGGCAGCGGCGGAAGGTTCGGTTGGCATGGTGACAGACGCGTCTGGTGTGAGGGAATGGTCGGCCGGAGACGTGGGGGGTATTGGATCGTTGATGGGTGACTGAGGTAGAGTGGATTGACTGGAGACAGGTGGTGGGGAGCCATCGGCTAAGTTGGGAGGTTGTTCGGTTATGGCAGGGACATGTATGGGGGAAGTAGTGGGCGGACTATGAGGAATGGGGGTGGTGTTTGTGAGAGTAAAGTCATTAATGAGGGGATTAGCTTCAGACGAAGGAGGTCCCGTAGAGGAAGATAATGTGGCATAAGAAAAAATATTTTCATTAAAGCGAACATGTCTACTGATAAAAACTTTTCCTGACTTGGAATCCACACAACGGTATCCTTTAAAACCGGATGTATAGAACGAGGAGAAATTTTATTTGAAGAAGAGGCCGAAAAATTGGGATAGCAAGCGCACCCAAAAACACGTAATAAACTATAATCAGGAGGCTTTTGAAAAAGAATGTCATATGGAGAAACACCAAACAGATTAGGAGTAGGAAGCCTGTTAATAATATATGCAGCAGTAAAAATAGCATCTACCCAAAAGATGCTAGGAAGAGAGGCTGTGAGAAGCATAGTCCTAGCAAATTCTAAAAGATGGCGATGTTTGCATTCAGCAACACCGTTTTGTTGAGGAGTATGAGGGCATGATTTTTGAAAATAGATGTCATTGTCAGAAAAAAAAATTGTATATGAGAATTAACAAAATCACCTCTTCCATCACTTTGAAATTTTTTAATCTTAGTATTAAGTAACTTTTCAACGAAAAGTATAAAAAAGACAAAACTGGTGAAAAGCTTCATTTTTGGTGCGCAAGGGATACAACCAAGTGAAACGAGAAAAATCATCAATAAAGCACACATAATATTTAAAACCTAAATTAGAGAGAACAGGTGATTGCCACACATCAGAATGAATTAATTGTAAAGGAGCAGAAGTAGTATGACTAGCATCCGAAAAAGGTAACCGTTGAGATTTACCCAAACGACAAGAAATAGGGGTGAGCAAATAACCGATTTAACCGACCTGACCGAAAACCGATGACCGAACCGACCGAAAAAATCGGGTATTGGTCGGTTTTCGGTTATAATAAATTCAAAAGAATCGGTTATTCGATTATTCGGTTTTTATTCGGTTATATTTATCGGTTATCGGTTGGTCACCGATAACCGTTCAAAATATATAAGTTTTTTTTAAGGAAAAGAAGTTTTATTGAAGTCCATAGTATGAAGTCCAGCCCACACTTATTGAAGTCCACCTATGAAACCCAATAGTTGAATGCTCTCGAGCCCTCAACCCTTGACCTCGTTAGATCGGTTTGCTGGTTTGGAGTTAAATGTTTAAGAAGTTAATAGCTTAATTATTTGCTAACATGTCATTTTTTTATTTTGTCTCCTGATTAAAAAAGATATATGTGGATGATGCATCATGTGTGCATATGTAGTGTGCTTTGTACTATTATTTACATTTAAATAAGTTAAATCTATTTTGGTATTTATTAATTTATTTATTAATGTGTTGTCTACAACTTTTATAATTTTGAAAATTATATGCTTTTTAAACAGGGTCGGTTATTCGGTTATTCGGTTACCGACCGAAAGTGAATGGCATTTTTCGATCGGTTTTTGTAATGTTGTCGGTCGGTTATCGGTCAATTATTAGAGTAAAAAATATTGGTCGGTTATTCGGTTATTGGTTGGTTATTTGACCGACCGACCGAATGCTCACCCCTAACACTACTAGAAAACTACCTTACGGTGACACTTCGTTAGTGACACTATTCGATTTAGTGTCAGAAACTGACGACATAACTGAAAGTTTACACATAAGCATCACTAATTTCTGACACAATACCATCACCATTTAATAGCGACACTCGAGGTGAAAAAACGGGGTCATATTCATAATTTATTAAAATACAAAAAAAACAAGGTCAAAATCTCAAGGTCTAACATTAAAGTTTCCAGAAATAAAACCCTAGGCGGTAATTCACCCACCGTATTGAACATCTCACATCATCGCGGGAGCTACAGCGGGAACGTCAGCTAGAGAGGGAGCGAGAGCTTAGTGCTTTGCGGAGTGGTTCAGCTGCCCTGACGGTCGAAGGATCCTTTAGCGGTTTTAGAGGTAATTTATACATCGGAGGCGGCGATGTTTATGGAGTATCGGAGAAGGAGTTGAGGTCGAGGTATGATCCGGCCTACATTTCGTACTATTACAAGAATGTGAATTTGAACTCTCGGCTTCCGCCGCCATTGCTGTCCAGGGAGATTTCGCCTCTAGCACAAAAGAAATGGGGAGCGGATGGGCTTATCGGATTGCCAGAATTTAGCTTAGGGCATCAGCGGAAATCTATGACCGAGGTGATTCAGGTGAAAAACAAGGGAACCATTTTAAATTAATACATTTGAAGTGATTTTGGTTTAAAAGTTTCTAACTGTAACTATGAAATAAGTTTGGACTGCATATCTATGTAGTTAGTAAGTTATCAGATACATTTGAAGCACTATTGCACTTGTGAAGTTTATTTCATTATGCTGGTTGTATGTGACTATTGAGATATTGAATAGATTCACTTCCTCTTTGGGCAAATTTTGCATATGTGAGTATCAGTTCTCTGCATCATTTCCTTCTGCAAAAATATATTTGCTTCTTTGCACTTGAAAGTCTGATCGCCACTGCGGTACATGCCAGTTTATTTTGGTGTGTGGGCGGGGAGGTAGGAGATCAATGTCCAGGGGGTTTATTCTTGTAAAAGGTCCTTTGTTTTAAGTCTTGAAGTTCATGAATTGCATATATGATGGTAGGTATGGACTTTCATTAATTTGTAACTGAATTTGTTTACAAATAATGCTTTGGTTCATTTTTATTTGTTCAGATGCCAAAAATCATATCAGGCTCGCTTTGGATATGCTTGAGAACATATATCAGGTTCCCTCTATTTTTTGTTTTCATTTATTGTCCTTGCATCATCTTATACTTGACCATTTTGTCTGTATCGGATATACTAGTATATGTTTTTGACAAGCAGTTTCAATTTTGACAGTCACTTGTATATATATGACTTGTATATAAAAAGTAAGTCATTCTCCCAACTAGTATCATTGACCTTAGCTCAGGTATGTTCCTACTTTACTTCCATGTTTACGGACTACATATATTTATTCATTGACTTTAACTTAGTTATGTTCCTTCTTTACTTCCGTGATTATGGAGTATTTATTTATTTATTTATTTATTCATTTATCTATAGGACATTTTGATTAAGACTATCTAAGCTTCTCTCTTATTTTGGTTAAGTTTCATGATGTTCAAGTTCCTAACCCTGTTTGTGGAAGTAATCGTTTCTTCATTACTTATGCTTCAGGATTTTTTTATTCACATCAAATTATGTAATTTAGGCCATCCCTCCCAAGCTGTCTGTGATTGGTGAGTTTCACCGCACCCTTCTCATACTTCTTCTCATAAACAAACGATAATGTTCACAAAGTACGGAGTAAATATATTCTAAGCATTCTTACCTTACTTCTTTCCTATTCTTTCTCACATTACTTCAGGTGAATTTAGTTTTATGAAGTTTTGTTCTTGATTCTTCCTTTTGTTATCTAGTTATAAGTAGATGTTTTTTCTTTCACTAGCCTTGTCAATCAACGGATGACATCTCACATTACGTACTATAATAATAACCATGAACTGGAGAAGGATTGGTGGCTGGAGAGGAAGAAAGCTGCTGAGCAGGTTCATTTTCTTGAAACCCCTTGTTATGTTGTTTACCACTGACAGAAGCTGCAGAATTGATGAGCTTAGTACGACTCAAAATCCGATAGGTTGAAATTAGCCTCAGAAGAGAAGGGTTAACAGGATGGCCTAATGAGGTGACAACAATAGGGATGAACAGCAAGAGGGCCGAAACCCATATTGTTTTTGTAATATTAGGATATACTACGTAATATGATAATAATAGTAAATATACAAGTGAAGTAGCAAACATACACAATTGGATTCTGGGACAACAAAAACAGACAGAGTTATATTAAATTTGTAGGTTGAGTGGGGGATAGTGGAATCTGGCCAGAAAATAAAAAAATGTGAAATAAATACATGCTAAAAGTCCTGAACTAAAATACATTCTACTAATCAATGCATGACTTATTTATTTACACAACAAGAAATGGATCTATACCAAAATACACTATCTTTATTTTCAGTACTGGCTGAAATCATTGGTACTGAAAGAGGATCAAGACCACTATTTTGGAACAGATTGATTCTACTTTTTTCATCTTTCTGTTCTTTCTTAACTTTCTGACATGGCCTGGGGTAAAGCATTGACAGTTCTAACTCACCACTTTCAACCCAGTGATAATTAAAGTTCAATGATAGGGGTATTCAAGTGAAATGTGAGTTGTCAGGAGGGGGGGAGGTTGATTCTTGTTGGCAGCCAAAGCAAATATAGAATTAGCAAGTCTGTTGATGGCATCTACAACACCATTTATTCCCTGCCTATTAATCTTAGCCTTTGATTCCCCAATCTAAAGTCTTCTCTCATGCAGGTTCAACATATCTCTGTGCCTTCTCTCCTTATTATTGTTGCAGTACATATTTATATATTCTTTCCCTATTTATCTGTGAATTGGTTAGTCTTTAAACAGGTCGCTAGAGATGCTATTCATTTTCATCCAAGTAAGTCCTTTTACTATAAAATAGGGATTTGAATATGTATAAATAATTTAATTTAAAAAGTCCAAGGCTTTCAACTAATTAATAATCCTTGAACCTGTTGCGAGAGTGCTTTAATAATCCCAATGTTGAATAATATTTGGATGATACCCTGGAACATATGTGCATCTTATGGTCAGTTTGTAGATCAACCTTAAATGTTTGTGGTTGTTTTGCATGAAGCATACCTAATGGGTAGTCGGTTCATTTTTTTGGACAATTTCCATTGCAACTTTTTTTTTGAAGTACACCTCTTTGAATAATTCAGTCACAAAATTAAAATGCGGTGATTATACCTTTATGTATGCATTCAGGTTGAGTTAGTGCTTATGCTCTAGTGCTACTCATTTGTATTGGTGTACATTTAATAAACTCTCATTCTCACATTTTTTTGCTTATACTTGATAATGGAGATGCCAAGTGTACTGCTTATGGAAGCTGTATGCAATGTCCAAATTGTATGATTTTAGTTATTATTATAACATATCCTAGCTTATTAGTAATTTAGTAACATATACAGCAAACCTACTCAATAAGTAAGTTGAAATTTTATTTATTGAGATAAGTGTGTTAAGAATGTAGTTTTCACTAATTAGGATTGTCTATAGTATGATGATTGAAATAGTTATCATTATTATTTTTACAGACTTCAGTGACGGTGTGATGAACAGTGCTAGCTGGATTTTTGCTATGCTCGTATGCATCATGGCGGTTAAACAAATGGCTGGAAGGACATAACATTTGGATGCTTGTGATGTACTTTATGTGTTTCCAGAACCTATGTAATGACTACTTTATGTTTGCAGCCCTATGTAGCTAGACTAGAATTCAAGAATATTGGTATTTTGGATTTTGCTTTGTTTCCAAGAACAAGTTAACTTATCTTTGAATTTTCATGTTCACTTTGATTTGAATCTAAATGACAATTAGTTAGTTATGGGATACTTTGATTATGAATTTGTTTTATATTTGTCTACAAGCTTGAAAATTAAACTTTTAGGTGGATATGATGGTACAAAAAAGTTTTAAATTGTTCAATAGTTGATACTATAGTATCATAAATCTGGATGGCACAAGAGTATCATAGGTTTTTGTAACATTAGTGATATCACTAATTTATATGATATCAAAGTGTCGTTAAGTATAACAATGCAAATGTATCACTATATTTTATGATACTAACGTGTCACAATTTACTGATACTTTTTAGTGACACATTTTTTAGTGTCAGAGTTCCAACCATTCGTTGACACTTTTCTGGTGTCACTAAAACTTTTAGTGACACTAATTTAGTGTCACTATAGACCATTTTTCTACTAGTGTAACAAGAAACACAATCATGTTCAAAATTTGAGGAACTAGAAATAAGTTTTCTACTACGCAACAGACGTAAAACAGGTTCGCCACAATGCCCTAATCTACGGTGCCACACTGGGTCAGGAGAAGAAATAGTAGCTAAAGCTAAAGGTGAAGACGGACTACAACTGATAGGATAGAGATGACCATTATGACGCGCATGAAGAAGAACTGCCCCCAAAGTTTTGTCCTTAACAAAAAAATAGTTTTTTTCAAAAATAGCAACACAGTTGTTATCAGCACATAATTTTTGAATGGAAATTTAATTAAATTTAAGTCGAGGCACATGAAAAACAGATTTTAATGACAATGGGCGACTGAGAGTATTAAACTTAATATTTCCAATAATAGCAACAGGAAGAGTAGTACCATTCGCAACACTAACAGTCATGGAGCCATAGTAAGGGGATTTATTTGACAAAATACCTTCAGACAACGTCATATGAGTAGAAGCACCGGAGTCCGGATACCACAGAGCATCGTTGGATTCCCCACTGGGAGCAACCAAAGCAGGCGCAGAAGCCGGAGTAAAACGAGAAGGACAATGTAATGCAGAGTGACATGCAGAGAAACAAATTTGACACACAACTGGGGAAGGAACGGAACCAAGAATACCTTCACCTGATGGGAAACATGCATAATGAAAGTGAGTACCAGAAGTAGATTTAGCACTAATATTTAAAATGGACATGACAGAATTACCCGCTGAAGCATTGTGTGTACTCGAGGTGGAAGCACCCCCTGCGACTGAGGACCCGGGTACTGCCGGCGGCTGTGGAACTCCGGTGGCCGGCTGATAAAATTGCGGGTGCTGTCCGCGACCCCTGCCGCGGCCATCTCTGCCGCGGCCTCCTCTGCCACGGTATGCGAGTTGCTGGCCAACGGGACCCGGCTGGTTGGGACCAGCTTGTGCACCAAAGGCCGGCTGCAAGTTGGAGGATTCCCGAAGGCGCGGATGAAGTACGCGCTGTTCCGCCTCAAGCAGTCTGGGTTGGTGAATGTCAGGTGGGAATTCATCCAGGAACAAAGATATGGTGCCCACAACAGACGCGTAGTCAGGTCCCAGTCCATACAAAGTGATTGCAATATTTCTTTATCAGTCACAGGATAATTTATGGCAACTAGGGCATTAGCCAGATTTTTAATCTCACGCAAGTAGTGTTCCATGGATTGATTCTTTCTTTTTAATTGAATTTAATGTGTGCTTAAGGTCCATGGCTCTAGGTAAACTTGTTGACATAAAACGTGTTTGTAAACGAGTCCATATAGCCGTTGAATGTTTAATATCATGCACATCTCTTAATACCTCCCGGGATAGGGTAGCAAACAACCAAGAACGAATTGTTTGATCTACCCAAAGCCAATGATAGTAGTCAATATTAACGATTTGATGATTATTAAAATTCAGCATGTACATAGGTGGTACCTGGATGGAACCATCAACAACTCCAAAGAGACTCTGAGATACCAGAAAGGATTCAAATTGCATATATGCCAGGTAAGGTGATCTTCTACAGCTTTGAGCTTGATAGTAACAATTTGACTAACATTGGCGCCATGGGAGATGGACTGCACCAACAAGGCCATAGAGGACCCACACATAATAGGGTCATGAGCTGGCCGTGTGATTCCAGGGGATCCAGCGAACGAAGGCCCATAAAATTGAGGAGAATATGGCGGGATGGGCTGTGAATGTGCCTGAGGGACAGCTGAAGACCAGGGAAGGGACGCCGGGAGGAGCGAGTACTGGTGGGGCGGCGTCCAGATAGAAGAGGAAAAGTCTAGCGCAGGTACCGAGTATTGTGGCTGCGGCGTTGGAGAGGAGACGACGCCTGAAATCTGCTGAGTCGATACCACCGTAGAGGAGACTGCCGAAGGAGGTATGGTCGAGGCAGGAACGGTTGTGATTTGTGCGTCTGGCGGTGGTTCCGATTGGAACGATGTTGCCGTCGTGACAGAGGATACGACAGAGGGAGGGGTGGCCATGGTCGGCTGCGGCGGACGAGAAGGAGAGAGTGCAGCCGATTTTTTTTGTAGCCCTAGACTCTTGATACCATGTGAGGATATTTGAGAAAAGGTACTCCAATAGGAGTCCTGGACTGAATATATATAATAAAAGAGTTTGAAACATACTAGGAAACAAATATGCCTAATAATATTCTACTCCTTCCGTCCCAATTTACTTAGCCAAACTTGACTTTTCAAGTCAACAACGTCTAACTTTGACCGATTATATGTTTATATAGAGAAAGTATTGATAATATGAAAATGATATGAAAATGTTCTTTGTTAAAAACACTATTATAAAAGTACAATATTATTAAATTTTGCAGAAATATATTAGCTTAAATAATTGGTCAAAGTTAGAGGCCGTTGACTTGAAAAGTCAAGTTTGGCTAAGTAAATTGGGACGGAGGTAGTTTTAAAATATGCTTAATAATATTCTATTAGTAATTAAGTCCAAGACATAATTTTGCAAAATAATGTCAAAAAAATTGGCACAGTAACAATAGAATGAGACTAACTTATCTTTATATGATCCTTAAATAACACTCAAGTTAAACTCATTATTTTCATCACGATGACGGATGACATATGAGAAAAGTTGTGCGATTAGTATGATTATTATTGTTTATGTGTAAAGGTTTATACTAAAAACATAAGGTTTAGAGAAAAAAACTTTAATTTTGATATGCTTTTTCGGAAAAACATCAGAAATCTAGTAGTATTTTAAGTTTTACTCTTTTAGGATGCTAGCTTTAGTCAACATGCAATTAATTTTAGTATTTAATAATAGTATATTTTGTATTGTAACAATTCAAAAACACGGGGCCATAGGGAGGAGGGTTTCCTTTTCTCTTTTAAATTATTGCTGATCTCCTATGCATTTAATGCATTCATTAAATTGATCAATTCATTTTCTATTTTTTGTAAAATACGGGAAAAATACATTTTTATACGGGAAGTAAGAGTTTTTTTCCTTTTTAAATGAAAAGACATTATTATTCGTTTTAAACGTGTTTTTACTCAAAAAAACGGTACGTGTTTAAAACGTAAAAAAAACTAACTAGGGTTTGGACAATTTTGTTAGGTGTACACACTTTATGTACACCTTTGGCACCCCATATAAAACCCTCCCATTTTTTTTACCTCATTTCCTTCCCAATTCAAATTTTTACCCCATCTTTCTTTTGCCTTCCATCCATCCAAACCTCCCGCCTCAATACTCCCGCATCCACCCCTCGGTTTCGAACAGAGGTTCAGAAGAACGAAGAAGACGAATACTCGCACCATCGTCGAATGCGAAGAAGACGAAGACGAGAGCCATCGTCGGACGAATCCCTACCCTAGACAAAGGTGTGGCGCTAGACGAGCGTGGACTAGCGTGGACGAGTGTGGACGAATACGAGGGCCATCGTCGGACGACCCCCCTCCCGTGAGTGGTACTGCTCTGCTGCTGTGGACTGTCGGAAAAGGCAGAGAAGACGAACACTGCTCCAGAGAAGGGGGTAACGCGGTTGAAGGTATGGTGCGAAGTAGTTTGACAGATCTTGCTGAAAGGTAATCTTCTCATCCTTGTGTAGTACTCACCTTTCTATAGTATTTATTTTGATTAAACAAGACCTAAATTTGTTTATGTGATTTAAGAGTTGTCTGAGATGTTGTTTATGTGTTGTGAGATGTCTGTCATTTGTTTTGAATTGTCTGTAAGGGGTTCATAAATGTTTGTGATGTTATTAATAGATGTTTGTCATTCATATTTCCTTGTCTGTCATTTATTTTGGAGTTGTCTGTATGCACTTTGTAAATAGATGTCTGTCATTCATATTTCCTTGTTTGTTTGTCATTTGTTTTAAATTGTCTGTAAGGAGTTCATGAATGTCTGTGATGTAACACCGTCCCCAAATGTATTTATCTTTAAGCGAATAATTTATTGAACCCTATGAAATTTTTAGTGAATTTACGAGGTTGTGAATTCGTATTAAATTTTTTCGCGTGAATAGTAAAATGCACGTGGGGCCCGCATCGGGAGTGGGGACCGCCCGATATTATCGGGACCACATATTAGATTCATCTGGGCCTAGAAAATATGTATATGGTGGTGGATATCCAAATTGGTCCATAGCAATGGCACAGGGTTGACCGGTCGGTCAAACAAGGCCAAATTATCGGTATCGGCAAATTTATCAGATAACAGCCCAAAAAGGGATTTCGGAGACTTCTAAATTAAGGTTGGGGAATGCATATTGATTCTAGGGTCCCATAAGGATTGGGAACAAGTGTTATATTTTATTTGACCCGATAAAATAAAATATACTTAAAACAGTCCGGAAAATACAACTTTCGGGACCGATTGTACACTTCTGGACAAAAAGGGTTGACCTCCCACATGGTTGGGGGCCAACCCACGAATTTAGCCTCATTATTCAAGGCCTGAGTCGGCTGGTAGGAGAGGTGAGGTGGGAGAGGACTGATTTGAGATGTTTGGCATCAAAACAAATCATGGTGGCCCTCCTCTCTTTCACTCATTGCCCAAAAGGAGACAAAGGGGCATTCCTACCCATCCCCCTCCTCACTAGTTCGGACAGAATCAAGGGAAAGGAGGAAAGAACCTATACAACTTCATCTTCCATAGCAAAATTCGAGCAGAGCTCAAACAAGAAAGTTGGGAGGAAGTTAAAGAAGGAAAAAGCTAGAAAAAAGTGTGAAAATTAAGGTAATGGCCTTATCATAACTTTTCCTTTGTTTTTCTTCTAGCATATAAGATATATATCATATGAAAGATCTTTAGTATTGTTCTACATGATTTAAGTGTGGAATAATGGGTTGGAAAGTGATTCTAAGTCCAAAAACGGACTTAGAAGCCAAATCGACCGGTTTGCCGGAAAATAACCTTTTATAGGTTATTTGTGTTGATATGGGTTTTGTGATGATAAAACCTTGTTAGGAACTTGATTTAAAGTATTTTTGAGCTTCGCCGGAGTTTCGTCGGAGTTGGTCAAAGTTCGCCGGAGTTGGTCAAAGTTCGCCGAAATTAGTCAAAGTTCAATCGAGAAGCGTAGAACGTGCTTAAGCTTAATTAAGGTGAGGATGACCGACTATGTTACTTATAATCTTTGGGTTAATTTCATGGGATTTCCTAAGTGAATACAAATGTGATGTGCATGGGTTATTAATGGTTAATAATGCCTAAATAAAACTACTTTTGATTATAAGTATAGTATGCATGATGCACAAATTTATGAATAAATTGTGTATGTTTAGATGTTATGAATATGTGTGTATGATGGTTGTACCAACCATGAATTTCATTTGAGATAGTATACTTTGATACCATGAGGAGAAGCCATGAAGGTATGAAAGTGATACTTGATATTAAGGCCAATCATGCATGAAGGAAGAATTATATTGAAATAAATGAATAACTAGCATTGAAATATTAGTTGGAAATGTTAGTTGAGAAATGGATGAATTAGATCCTAAGAATGAGAATTATAAAGAATCGGTGATTATGAGTCGGGTTCGGGACCGATGTAGATAACGGTGATTATGAGCTGGGCTCTAGACCGTGGTAGATGACGGTGATTATGAGATGGGCTCTAGACCGTGGTAGATGACGGTGATTATGAGCGGGGCTCTAGACCGTAGTAGATAACGGTGATTATGAGCTGGGCTCTAGACCATAGTAAATAATGATGAATTGATACTAAATGAACGGATTAACTATAATGTAATAATGCTCTAGATTGAGGGCCTCAGAGATTTAAACTTCGATTATACTTAGTATAGTTGTCATTGTACTTGTCAAATGCTTCCAAGTACTGACCTCCCCTTCACGGGGGAGGCCACATCACAGTTTCAGGTAGAACTTGAAGGTTGCTACCATCAGCCGCTGTTTCGGGAAGTTTCTGAGAAGAAGACTTGGTTCGTGCTTCTTCCGTTCTTGTTTTGAAAACAATATGAATAATGCTCATGGATATTATTTTCTAAATATACATTTCGGGGGTTTGTATACCCATGTTTGCCAAGTGTGGCTTGTACACTTGTAATGTTGTTTCCGCTGTTTTAAATGAATGATTTACATTATGTTTGTTTATGAATGTATTATGTGTGAATGATATTCATGACGCCTTGTATGGTATGGATGAGTTGGACTGCGGTTGACTATTCGTACTGTGCGGCGGGTTGTTGACGTGTCCGGCTAGGTCCGGGGCGTGACATGTGATGCTATAAATAGATGTTTGTCATTCATATTTCCTTGTTTGTCATTTATTTTGAGTTGTCTATAAGGACTTTATAAATGTCTGTGATGTTATTAATAGATGTCTGTCATTCATATTGACTTGTCTGTCTTATGTGATGTGCCTTTTTAAATATGTGATAGGGCATTGAAATTAAAAAATCCTGTCTACGACCACTTCCCTGCGCAATACTCTCTATGCTCTGAATTGAAAGACGCTGCAACGTTGGTGAAGTCAGCTTTGTCTGTTAAGAAGATTGCTGAGTTTAGGAAGATGTCGTGGGGCCATTTTCTTGATGTGCCAGACCTTCAGTTTTCTGCTCAAATTGTGCATAGCTTGTTGTTAAGGCTGGTGTGTGAGCAGCCCGAAGACGAACTGTGGTTTTGCATTAACGAGCAATTGTTCAAGTTTACCTTTGTAGACTTTGAACGCATCACTGGGCTCCGTTCTAGGGGTCCAACTCCAGCCTTCTCGGATGATGAAGGCAATGGGATGTTGTTAGATGACTACTTTGGTGGTGCCACAGAGATCAGTTTCAGAACGTTGACGGAAAAGATGAGGTCAATTAAGACGAAAAAGAGAGGCGGCCGTGGTGATGCTTTGAAGCTTGCTTGTGCTTTTTATGTACTATGTGTTTTACTACCAAGGAACAAGAAAACAAACATCAATTCACAGTATCTGAAACTGGCTGATGAATGGGACAAATTTCAAACTTACCCTTGGGCAAAAGAGTCCTACACCTTGATGGTCTCTCATATCAAGACCCTTATGGTTGGGCAAGCCGAGAAGTTCAAGCAAAGTAAAGCCGCCAATCCCAATTACAAAAACGCAAAGTTCACATTGCACGGGCTTCCTCACGTCCTACAGGTAATGTAGGCATTATATTGCATTGTGTGTTTTATATTGTCATGTTTGCATGAAACACATAGTTGTCTGTACGCCATACATGTAATATGAAAGACAAACAATATTATTTTATCACACAGACAATATTATTCTTCCTCACAGACATTTCATCCTTTCATACAGACAATTCCCAGGGCCGGCCCTGAGGGTGTGTAGGGTGTCCAACCGCACAGGGCCCAAAAAATTGGAAGGGCCCAATTTTTTTTGTAGTAATATACTACTACCTTCGTCCCAAATTGATTTGCAAATTTAACTTTTCTTGGTCAACCAGTTTCATTTTATTTGCTTAATTAGGATGTCAATTTTTAATAATATTCTAATTTGGAATTTACAACTTTGAAGAGATATTAATATAGTTTCTGAATATATAAATTTTAATTATTAAAAATGGAATTAATTATCGATAGGAAGCATTGACTTTTTTTATTGGTTGACAAAAAAATGTTGACTTTGCGAAACAATTTGGGACGGAGGGAGTAGTATTACTTAGAGGTGGAGCGTATATATAGGAACGAAGGAGTACTAAATCCTCTGTTTTCACCGGTGTGGGAATCTTAAGCTTAAGAAACTAAAAAGATAAGAAGCGAGGCATGCGGGATTCGAACCTAGGTGAAAATAAAATCATGCACGCTGAATCTCTAAACATCAACCCACTGGACCGAATCAACTAATTGTTGAATTGGAATAAGGACGTACAAGCTTTATATTACCTATTTGTTCTACAAAATAAATAATTAAAAATACCTCTTAATAAAAATCGGTTCGGTTCGGTTTGAATCGATTTTATAACTCAAAAACCTTCATTAAACCGATTTATGTTCAAGTCCTGACTTTCGGGTCCTGTTTGAGTCGGTGCGGTTTCGGTTCGGTTTTTTAACTTGTGTTGAAACTTTTAAAAGAAGGCCCAATTATTTTTGTTGCACAGGGCCTTCATTTCCTCAGGACCGGCCCTGTCAATTCCTTAGTGTAGACATACCACTTATTCTGCCAGTCATTGTTTTTACTTGTCTTTTGTGTTTTTCAGGTTCTATTTTATTCAGTTTTTCTCGATTTTGATTCGGTTTAATATGGTTTGATAAGAATACCACTAAACTCAAACCAAATTACATATGTTTTGATACGGTTGGATACGGTTCGGTTGAATAAAACCGATATACTCACTCTAATAACAACATAGGTAAAAACTAAAAAGCCAGCAGGATAACTACTCAAATACGGTCTGGACCGGGTGAACTACAAATACAAAACTACTCCTTCCGTGCCAGAAAATTTTTCCCACTTTGACTTGACACGAAGATTAAGAAAGTCGAATAAAGTGGAAATGCGTGGTTGTAGTTGTGTAAGAAAAAGGTGAAATGAATGTGGACCACACAAATTGTCCAAAAATGGTAAGTAGAAAGAAATTTTTTGGGACGACCCAAAAAGGAAAGTGGGAAGAATCTTGTGGGACGGAGGGAGTAATTAATTACTACATCCGTCACATAAAATTCTTCCCACTTTGACTTGACACGGAGATTAAGAAAATGAAATAAAGTGAAAATGTATAGTTGTGATTGTGTAAGAAAAAGGTAAAATGAATGTGAACCACACAAATTATCCAAAAATGGTAAGTGGGAAGAATTTTTTGGGATAAACCAAAAAGAAAAGTGAGGAGAATTTTATGGGAGGAAGGGAGTAATTTTATTATATCGATCGATTATTAAATATTCCTTTCATGTGCAATCAGGTCCGCAATCAAGTCCCACCATGCCGGTTCCTTCTATGCTACATTCCAACTCAAATAAGTCCAACAGAGGATCTCTTAAGGGAAAAGGAAGTCATCAAATACATTGAAATATATCGAGTGATAAAACATTGTTGTCATTACATAAAATAACACATTCCTGATCCAAGTCTTAAAAACAAGAGCAAAATACTTTTAGTCCAACCGCACAGAGCCAAAAAATTGGAAGGGCCCAATTTTTTTTGTAGTAATATACTACTACCTTCGTCCCAAATTGATTTGCAAATTTAACTTTTCTTGGTCAAACAATTTCATTTTATTTGCTTAATTAGGATGTCAATTTTTAATAATATTCTAATTTGGAATTTACAACTTTGAAGAGATATTAATATAGTTTCTGAATATATAAATTTTAATTATTAAAAATGGAATTAATTATCGATAGGAAGCATTGACTTTTTTTATTGGTTGACAAAAGAATGTTGACTTTGCAAAACAATTTGGGACGGAGGGAGTAGTATTACTTAGAGGTGGAGCGTATATATAGGAACGAAGGAGTACTAAATCCTCCGTTTTCACCGGTGTGGGAATCTTAAGCTTAAGAAACTAAAAAGATAAGAAGCGAGGCATGCGGGATTCGAACCTAGGTGAAAATAAAATCATGCACGCTGAATCTCTAAACATCAACCCACTGGATCGAATCAACTAATTGTTGAATTGAAATAAGGATGTACAAGCTTTATATTACCTATTTGTTCTACGAAATAAATAATTAAAAATACCTCTTAATAAAAATTGGTTCGGTTCGGTTTGAATCGATTTTATAACTCAAAAAACCTTCATTAAACTGATTTATGTTCAAGTCCCGACTTTCGGGTCCTGTTTGAGTCGGTGCGGTTTCGGTTCGGTTTTTTAACTTGTGTTGAAACTTTTAAAAGAAGACCCAATTATTTTTGTTGCACAGGGCCTTCATTTCCTTAGGACCGGTCCTGCTGCGAATACACGATTAAAGTCATGATAAATAACAAGCAACTCAATAAATAATAATAATAATAATAATAATAATAATAATAATTAACTAATACTCTCTCCCTTTTTAGTTAGCCGTTTTTTACTCTTCCGGTCAAATATGCTAGACTTTGACCAATGATATATGTATATATATAATTATTTATAATATGAAAATGATATGAAAATATTGTTCATTAAAAGTTACATCACAAAAGTATAAATCTCACAAAAATATCGTTATTAAAATGATTGATCAAATTAAAATTTACCATCATTATTGACTGGCTGACCGCAAAATCAAAAATGGCTAAATAAAAAGCTAGGGATGAAGGTAGCACAATTTTACGACTAAAAGATAATAAAGGGTGTTTATAAATTAGAAGCATGCGACCGGCCTTTTAATTATAAGCAAGCAACCTCTTAAGTATATATAGTGACATGTTACTTTAATTTAATTTTTATAACTTATATTTAATTTTTACACTTAAGTAATCGTGACATTATGTTCATTGAAACTTTAGTCATATTTTTATCAATAAATTTTATTTCATTAATATTTTTTTAATAGATAGAGGCATGCTCTGACGCTCGGTGACCTTGATTATCTGCCCTGTGCGGATATGCCCTGATTCCAAAGTGAAGAAAGATGTATCTATCTCATATGCAATGTATTATGCATTTATGCATCATATAAATGCTTTATATATACAGAATAAATAATAATAGTCATATTATATATATAAACCTGTAAAGTAATAGTACCGGAATAATAATAATAATAAGGAGATGAGACAACAATACGTATATCTTAGAGGGAAAAAAACGTGAGAATGTTGACTTGTTCTGAGATGATCAACATTCTGCTTAGACTTTAGCGTTTGTTAAATTCTGTATATATGGAGTGTTTTTTCTTTTATTCGCTGTCTCGAGACCTTAGCTTATTCTTTTGATTGTCATTATGCACTGGAAATTATATGCCAGAGGGGCCTACTAATTCCCTGAGATGCAAGTATGCAACAATCAGTCGCAGACAATCCTACAAACATATAATGGATAGTATCATATTGGGACATAGTCAAGAGTTGAGAGAGTAGTAAATTAAAACCCCCATTATTACTTCTTAATCGTGAGGATAATAACATGTGCGGCTAAATTTGAGAAAATTTCACCATTTTGAAACTATCATTTTGTTCATTTAATCTTCATTTTCATGCGGATGAGAGCATGACTTTGAAAAGAGGTAAGTGGAGGGCGGATATTATGTGGATGAGTGATCTCATATCATCTTTTCCCCTCATCTTTTTTCCCTTGTTTTTTATACTTATATATAAGCATTATTTGTATCCTTTTTATTTTATCATTTTTATGTATATTCATCTCTTTTTATATTATCTTTTGATAATAGCTTATCTTTTTTATCTTTATTTTCTTTCTTTTCCTTTTGGTGGTGATATCATATATCGATTCATGTTAGCCGACCCCAAAATCTTTTGGGACTGAGGCTTGGATGTTGTTGTAATCTTCATTTTCATGCATTCTAAATTAAAGCCAAAATATGTAATCTTAGAGACAGTTTCGTAACGGTGAATCAACTGAATTTAATGAAATTGCTGAATTTCTCGGTGAAATGAGTGGATTGCTTAGTTATGAAAAATAGTAAAAATATATTTTATTAATTAATAAAAAATATGAAAAGCTAAATCAAAAGTTTAATGTTTGGTACATAAGCACTCTTCTCGTTTGAGAATGAGAATGAAACTGAAGCATTGTATCAGATGAGAATATGATGGAATGAGAGAAATGGGAATGAAATTGAAGCGTTGAGTTTGAGAATTTTGTATTTTGGAAAATTGAAATGCGCACTACTATTGTGAATGAAAAATAAGACAATGTTTGTGTAAATATGTAGTTCTTCTTCTATTGTCGAATGTATTATCTTAACTAAAAATGTGCAACAATATAAATTTCAATGTGCAACATTTTACATCATTCTCATTTTGCATGGAAAAATCATTATCACTAAAACCCGACCTTATACATAAATTAATTAAACTTAAAAAGTATGAGGAGAAGCAACATTAGTTTGATAATCCAATTGAGTTAATATTGGATTTTTTTTGGATCCCCTAAAGCGCTTGAGCCAGGGGAGGGGGCCTTGGTGGAATGGAGGTATCTAAACGTATTCATATTTCAGAATTGAGATTGTGCTTAGATTTGGTTCCATAATACGTAGTTGTTGAGATATTGAGCCGAAGGCCCAATACCCGGATCAAAGGTCCAATATATCCAGTCCAACAAACGGGCCCAGAATTCAGAAGATGAACAGGCTCAGGGAGAAATATGTACCGAACGGGGTTCGGGTCAACCAATGTATTTGGGCCAGATCAATGATAATTCCAGCAGAATCCATTACCCGTTCAGGCAACGGGCAGCCAGCAAGTGACAGGGCGCATTTATTGCTAGAGTATGGCGGCTGCAGCAAGTGGGAATATGGGCTTTCAAGTGGCTGGATTAGCAACCAATCAACATGAAGCCCCCCATACCCCCCATTAGTATAAATAAAAGGATTAATTTCATTGTAAATGGTTAGATCTTTGAGACTCAAAGCCTAGAATAGCTTAATTACTCTTGAACTTGTATTAATCACTATTTCGACGTACCGTTCGGGAAGTTCTTGTGTAATCAGCAAATTATCTAATACAAGTGGGCTTTTGAGCGTTAAATTATCCATCTTTTATATTTTCTTATACATTGAATTCGTGACCATTTCCTGAAATATCCAAAGTTTGTGTTGGGCTTTCGGATCTGCGGGACTTAACCTCAACATTGGCGCCGTCTGTGGGAAACCTGAACAAAAAGTTTCACACCAATCACTTACCCAAAACAACCTATTTTCAAGATGGTTAGAATCACCTCTCATCACACTAGTGAAGGTTCTGGAAGACGCGGGGAGAGCCGGACACCCCAAGGGCAATCCAGCCGGGGATCCTACCCGCACTATGATGGGGATTTCTTCATCCCCAAAGCATTGAGGAGGAATCCTCATGCGATGCGAGATTTAGCTCATGTCATGCAGCACCTGGCGGATGAGCAGGATGGGGGACGGTCCAGCTATACGGGGGAAACCAAATACACGACCCCATCCACGATGCAATCATTCCAAGAGGAAACTACCGATACAAAAACCACAACGGCTTCAAATCATTCCCGAGCACACTAGGGAGAGTACAGAAGGGCTCATACGTCTGGGGGTAGGCATCACACTACCAGTGACCACACCCCGACCGGGTCACGAGCTAGAGGAGATACGCCGGTTGGGCGCCATTTCCATTATGAACATGATAACACCCGATCCAGACATGAACGTCAGAATCAGAGAGCAACCCCAGCAGAAGGAACTAGGGAATTTGTTAATCTTGGAACTCCACCACCACCTCCCCTTACGGCCCAGGAGGAAGAGATGGCTGAAATGAGGAGGTAGATGAACGAAATGAAGGACCAAATGAACAAGGCACCTCTACAACCTACCCCGGTGCGAGTTGGGATCACTTCCCCCTTCACCCGGGAAATAATGGATGTTGAAATCCACAGAGCCGCCAAACCTCTGACCAGTCAGATATATGACGGGGCGGGAGACCCCATGTGCATTTGAGGAGTTACCAAGGGGGGCTCATGTTGTTAGGAGCAACAGAGGCGGCTATTTGCCGGCTTTTCATCAGCACACTCAGGGGACTCGCCCAGGAGTGGTTCGGGGCTCTGCAACCAGGATCGATCGGCAACTTTGCCAGATTATCATCTTTATTCCTGGCCCAGTTTGCCTCCAGTACTACTCCAAAACGGCATTTCAGTTACCTGACCAGTGTCAAGCAGGGGCCAAAGGAGACCCTGAATCAATTCTTGAAACGATGGAGGGATGAAACCCTGAAAGTTGGGAACATGACGGATGATACAGCCATCACCCTATTCACTAATGCTCTCCGAACGGGTGAACTGTATAAAGACTTAAAAAAGAATTCGGACATTGTATATTCCGAAGTGCTGGATAGGTCCCGAAAGCATGCGGCTCTCGAGGAGGAAATCATGATCAGGGAGAAGGTAGCTACACCCTCTGCCCCTACAAGATTGGCCGATCGGCTGGGTCCTATCCCAGCGGCCGCACCCCCTCCAAAGCCAGGACGATTCACCCCTCTGGTCCTGTCTGTTGCGAACATTTATC